GTGTGTGTGTGTGTGTGTGTGTGTTTACACATCCGAATTTAAACTGATGGAGAAAAAAGGCCAGAACAAAATGAATAAACTCCCTCAAGGGCTTGAAATTTGTATTTAAATATAGAAGCAGGATGGAGGTTAATAAATTGTTTGAAGTACTTCCAAAATATCTGAGTAAGAAGATTTTTATTAATTAAGTTTAAGTTTTGTGAGATCTATTGACAGACTCAAAATAATCTAAAATTCAAATGAATATATATTTCTAAGTTTCCATTTTAAAAAATGCACATCCTCTAGAATGCTTAGAAATACTAAATATTATTATTACTATTTTCTTTGTAAAATCATATAGAATGAGGGCTTATCTGCCTAGCGATTAGAACAGCTTTACGTCTACAAGATTTTTGCATAACCCCCAGAACCCTGGAAATTCTTTAAAATAATCCAGATTCTAAACCATTATGTCTTTGAATCTTTTTTCTTGGCCATATACTTTAGCACTATGGTTATCAGTTCTTTCTTTTATAGCTGCAAATGCACAGCAAAGTGTTTTGATAGAATTAGGTATCCATTGGAACAAGCTGTTTTGACTTCGTTAGTTCTCATTTCATTTCTGTCGCATAAAGAAGAAGAGAACTACTTTATTTTCCTCTTCATGGAAAGTTAAGTTGATTCATAATGCCTGAAAAAAAATGAGGTTATTTGAAAATCTGTCTTAAACTTCCTATTTGTAGCACATTAGTTATGGATACTAAAATTTGTAAGAATCCTACAAGTCACATAGATGGGACCTCTTTGCTCCATGACACTTCTGGGCACAGAACCTCCCCATCAGCCCCTTCTCCCCATCCCTGGTATAACACTATCTCAAGGTGAATAATGTTTCCTGGGTAAGGGGAAATCATAGGTTTACAGGCATGATCTTCTAAAGTAACTATCTGAAAGGCAAAAGAGATCACAGCCTCTAAGATGCTAGGTAGGAAATGTAACAGAGCCTTTTAGAGAATTTGTGAAGTATAGTAAGTAATTTTAGTCTGACAAGTGTTAGCATCTCATTAATTTGTCCGGATCTCTTGAACCAGCAGTTGAGCCAAAAATCTCCTGAGCCAAGCTTTCTCGCAAGATTTCCTGTACTTCCTGTTTCTGTGTGAGCCAGAAATACCATGAGAATGACCTTCCTTGTGGTATTTCTGCACTTCTACCTTGGGATGAAGATAATCCCATATTGGGGAGAATTTTTGTTTTTAATTGTGCAAAATTTTCAATTTTCAAACCTTCAAATGAAGGAGATTCCTCTTTGAAAATTTGAGATGGTATTTGCTTGGCCCTAATACATTTCCACTAGGAAGTATTCATGTTCAGTGAGTCAACATTTTGTAACTTCTTTAAGGTATTTTTATGAGGAGATGTGTAAAACAATCTAGAGAAGACAATGGAAGCATATTCTTGGTCTTTTAAAAAGTCATTCTTGAAGAGTTGTGCAATGAAGAGTTATATTCTTAATATATTAGTGTATGTGACATATTATATCGTATATTTGTTTTCTTTGTTCTTAACCCCTTTGTTCCAAGGGTCAGGATATCCTGATGCTAAGTACTATTGCAAAATAAGTGAACAAAAATAAAAATAGTCAAACACTTAGGAAACTCTTTGGTTGTTATGTCAAGGAAGTTTGTGACTGAGGAGTGAGTTTAAGACATTATTCAGGAAATATGCTAATAAAATACAACAGTCTACCTGTGCTTATTAAATAAAATTGTCTCAGTTCTAGAGAGCCTGGATGCCCCAGGCTGATGGAAGGGTAAGGTAAGAATTGGGAGGGCCAGCAAAAGTGGTGGAACTGTCAGACTTACACTTAAATCCTTTCATCTCTTAACAAAGAGGGAAGTTTTTAAAAGGCACATTTTTCTCATAAGTGGATCATTGATTATTCCCTAATTGGACTGTATGAATATCTGGTTGTTGTAGAAAGAGTTGTTTGACCAATATTTTAATAATGAAATTTCCAAGCATCAGTGTCATAAATGTCTTTTATTGTTTTATATCCTTAAAGGATGCTGACCTTAATAGGTAAAAAAGGTTTTACGTATTAAGAGAGACAGTAGGTTTGCCAGTGTACTTTTCCATCCAGAAAAAAAGAAAAGCCACTTAATTCAGTGTGGAAAACTAAACTTATTAACCACGGGTTTAGAGAAATAATAATAACAACAACAACAAAATTGCAGTAGCCTTTGCTAGTTTCAAAAATGAGGTGAGGGCATTGAAAATAATACACACCCTACAATGGTCTTTCTCTTCTCCCCTAAGTCCCCTCTTCTCTCCCCTAAAGAAACATCAAATGATTGTATAATAAAAGAGTCCTAAAAGGGACGCAGACAGGAGCAACAGATTGTACATCAACAAAATAAAATGCCAAGCGAAATAAAGCACTTTGCCATGCAGAGACGTAAAAAGGAAAGAAAGATGGAATTGTTACAGTGGTCTCCCCAAGAAAATAGGAGCTCTCCGTGTGAACGTCCAAGTTCAAATTGTTCGTTCAAACCCAATTTGCTGGCAAAAGTGCCAAATACAATACCACCCCAGTTTCATTTATGTCCAGGGCTTTTCACATTAGCCCCAGGGGGCGTCCTCTTCTGTGGTAGGGGTTCTTACTTCCAGGGTGAGTGCCTGCATCTATGAGCCTCCGGATCCAAGACACGTGGCCCATGATTGCCCTCAACCAAACCACTGTCAGGGGAAGGGGGTAGCAATTAGTGGCCCAAACATTATGTCCACAGTGCTCTGTCTCTGGAGGGTGAACTTGCAACACTTTCTTCCCTTTCTTTGCACTGTCATTTATGCCCTCAGTGAATAGCCTTTAAAATTGTTATTAAAGGAAATGATTACTCCTTCTTTGAAAAAAATTTTTAACCATCCCGAGCTAGGTGTCCAGACTATGGAACCCCACTGGATGTTTGCAGGATTTTTTTTTTAATTGAAGTACAGTTGGTTTACAATGTTGTGTTAATTTCTGGTGTACAGCATAGTTGATGCTCCCCTAATTCACTTCTTTCAGAGAGAGCTTTGGAATGTGATTCAGTGTTATTTCCCTTCCAGCCGAAGGGCAGCTGAGGTTACAAAGGGATTTGACTAAGAGGCCAAAACCCAGTTAAGTTTACTGAGAACCAAATGACAGCAAAGGGGGAGGGGCGTGGAGGAGGGGAGTGTGTGAACAGTGGCGCCGAGAATCAACCCAAGAGCCTTCGGAATAACCCCAGCCTAGAGCAGACCGTAGTGGACAGGCAAGGTGGCCCCCGGCCAGACCTTCCAGAAAGAAGCAGCTGTAAATTGGCTGTGCGGGTGCCTGGCTTCCCCTGTTTTCCGAGAGCTCCTCGGGCTTGCAGGGCTGGAGCCGGGGAATCTTCTAGGCTTCCGGCACCACGGGGGCGACTCCTTACCTGACACCTTCAGAGAACTGGCCTCCGGAGGACCCCTCTGAGAGGCTGGCAAAGGGGACCCCCCCCCCAGCTTCTTTGCCTGCCGTCCTTCAGGGGCTAAACAAGCCACTTAACAAACTTTGACAAGCCCCAAAAGAGAACGGAAAACAGATAAATCAGAAGAACGGAAAAAGCAAAGGCTAAAACCTCGATGGCTTTTTTCCCTCTGCTGTCGTTCCAGCTGTAGCCTGGGATTAATTAAGTGCTGCGAAGTCAGTGCCTGAGAGAGAAGGGGGGAGATGCATTCTCTCTCGAAGGAAGGACAGTGACAGTCCTCACCAGTGAGAAAGCTTGGGAAGTGAGTCGCTCGCGGCGTCAGGGTTTGTGGAGGGACTGGAGGGACAGGGAGGCTGTGACAGGCTGGAGGAGGCTTGCCTGTCCGAAGCTGGAGAGGATTTTCCGGGGGTTCGCCTTCCCCTGTCTGGGAAGCATTTCCCTTCTGATAGCAGCCGCCGCTGCCGCCGCCGCCGCCGCCGCCGCAGCAGCAGCAGCCCTACCTCCTCTTCTGGGGAACAGGGCAGAATGCCTGTGCTCCAGCGCTACTTCCACTCGGCGGAGCTGGGCAGAAGGTGGCCAGCCCCCGAAGGTGTGCTGCCATCCTCCCCGGGCAGCCGGCCGGGGTGCCAGCAGGGGCCGCTGCCCTGGGACTTGCCAGAGATGATCAGGATGGTAAAGCTGGTTTGGAAATCCCAAAGTGAGCTGCAGGCGACCAAACAGAGAGGCATTCTGGAGAATGAAGATGCTCTCCACAGCTTTCCAGGTAAATGGGCTCTGAGGTGTGAAAGGTAACAGGGCCAAGTCTGGTGACTTTCAGTCCCTTCCTGGGACAGCCCAAGCCATAAAAATGGGAAAAGGAAGGAAGACGAACTGTGCAGCATAGGTCCCGAGGGCTGTGATTAATGAATGTTTGCTCTATGACAGAAATGCATGTTAAAATTAAATGTGATCTGGTTGGAGGAGCATTAATAGACTGAAAATCGAGAGACTTGGGATCTGGGCTTAGCTTGTCACTTGCTTGTCCTGTGGCTTAAACAAGTAAAATTTCCTAAGCTTCAGTCCCCAAAAGGGAGGATGAAATTGGGTGCTCTTTAAAGTCTATCCTGCTTCTGCAGTTTCTTGTTGACAAGTCAGTTATCGCTGAGAGAATATTTTTCTTGGGTTGCTTTTTTTGTAATGCTTCATACAAAGTAAAATATGTTTTCTCATTGTTAGCTATGGAACTACAGCATGTACAAATGTTCCCAGGACTGAGTTTGGCCTGGAAGCTTTTTGTGTTGTGAGAAACTTCATAAACTTCCTTGCCTCAGTTTCCCCTTTTGGCAAATGACAATAATACAAAGTTCCCCACTGATACCGGGAAAGCTCAAATAGCAAATGTGGAAATGGTGATTCATAGGGGCTTTGTCACGTTACAAGAATGCGCTGTGCTTGGGACGGTTGAGGAGAACTTTGCTGTGTTTTTAACAGTGGGTACCACACCACAGACCTATACCTAGGATCCCTGTGAAAAATCCCAGGGGGCTCCAATAACACTGTAAACTCTTAGAATGCAGGGTGTGCTCTTCCTTAGGGCAGTATGTTGGTAGATATTTGGAAAGCCGTGGTACACTTTAGAAGAATGAATGTGAGCGTGTGTTTATGCATTTGAAGGCTTGGCCAGCTCTATGCAGTGGAATCTTGACATGCCATTGGTGGCGAGAGATGGGGGACTAGACAGAAAAGCTATACCAAAAATTACCTCTCTTTTTCTCATGGAAAGACACTAGGAAATCAAAACTTGACCATTTTGTTTTTAATAAATTATAGAGAAATATTTCCTAAGTTGCTTAATAATCTAAAAAGAACAATATTTAAAAAAATGCTCTGGGCAGAAAAAAAGATTTGAAAGAAATTAAAAAACCACTGTGCTGGTCTCTAGTAAACAATGAATACTTAGGAAAGAGAAGGAAACCAATGAGACTGAGGTTTATGTGGCAGTTGGGGGATGCCCAAGAAAATGGGTCTTGGTCAGAAAAAATGAGGTAATGCTAAAGCCATCCCATATTTCATGTGAGTACAAGAAAAATGGAAAAACCCACCTGGGCAGAAAACTCAATTATGACACTTCAACTTTTACCGCTCTTGGTTTGTTTCAGTATATTAAATGATTAAAATGCATATTTCAAATTACGCCTTTGGTAAAACTACCGAATTCAACAGATGTTAGCATGTCTGCAGAGATACGTGTATATTATCATTTCTATTATATGCTGGTGAGTGTCTAATTTCCTGAAAAAGCAGTACAACAGAGAGAAAACAGAACTCCTATAACTTTTTAATCACTTAAAAGGAACATTCTTCTGGACATTATTAAGTTCAGCTAGTTGAGTCTTAATATGCCCCAGACCACCGTCTCACCCTCAGTGGAATATATCTCAGCAGCCACACTGGTTTCCAGGGAGGATGCACCCTGATCCGCTATCCCTTCGTCCTGCCTGCAGGGAGGCAGACTCTATTTCGACACCTCCCCAAAGGCTGTCTGCTT